GTTTCAGAGACACGAGAAAAGCTAAACGTTTCGAACTTAAGAGCGCCGTTCTCGAAAGAGATAGAGACAGAGACGCAAAATCTTGTTTAATACAAATTTTTTTGGGAAGTGGTACGTACCACTGTCCGTTTTTATATAAATAATTTCACAAAAACTTTTCATTTGCAGAAAATCTACAATGTAAACTAGAGACAATGGTCTTTGAGAAGTGATTGCATTTAGGTTATATTGTTGTTTAATTGTGTGCTGAATATAATCGTGGTGCTTACTGGTAGTATTGTCTGTATAAGGCAATTCGCCAGTAAGGTATTTTAATGAGAATAGATAAAATTCTCATGTTTATGCACACGCAGTCAGTATTCTTCTATGTACATAAAGCCGACAGCAGATTATATTATTTCTTCACCTCGCTATACAGGCTGTTGAAATTTGACTGCCTTAATGTTAACTACTAGGGTTATTTCTATTCTTTTGTTCATCAAATTCAATAAAAAGAAAGTTATTAGTTTGTTGATATTTATTTTTAGAGGTCGCTCGAAAACATTTTAGGTGCACTACTTTGAAAGTTAAAATAATTATGAGTGACCTTTAGAAATTAAAATATAGATTTGAAATTTTCAGATTCGAGATTTTTTTCAACCTAGAAAATGAAAAAATATCGAGAAAAAAAATTCTATTTTTGACGATTTTGGAAATTGAATTCGAATTTTTTCACCACTAAGAACGGCGGTGACAACATTTTTAACATTAGGGCGATGTTTCGTATTGTATTAGCTATGATCCTGTCCAAATTTGGTTAGTGCAACTCTCTCGGATTCGAGAATTGAATACCTATATTAGCGTGGCCCAAAAAAAACCGATTATTTTTTTTCTCGTGTCTCTTGTGAAAATGTGTTAGTTTATCATGTTTTAAGAGCCCCCTCAAAAAATCAGCTCAAAAAAAATTTTTTTTAGAGGTCGCTAACGATTTTTAAAAATTTCCAAATTCCTCAAAAATTGATTTCTTTTTTCATTTTTTTTTCGTTATTTTCTCATTTTCTAGGTTGAAAAAATCTCGATTTTGAAAATTTCAAATCGATATTTTAATTTCTAAAGGTCACTCATAATTATTTTAATTTTCAAAGTATGTAGTGTAGGTACCTGTTTTCGAGCGACCTCTAAAAAATAAATATCAACGAACAAATATTTTTTTCACGAGACACTTAAATTTTAAAAAATTATAAATATTTTATACTCAGGTAGTAAATTTTGCCTCGAGAAATTTTTTAAGTGTCGTGATTTATTTCTATTCATTTCATCAAATTCAATAAAAAAAATTATTAGTTCGTTGATATTTATTTTTAGAGGTCGCTCGAAAACATTTTAGGTGCACTACTTTGAAAGTTAAAATAATTATGAGTGACCTTCAGAAATTAAAATATCGATTTGAAATTTTCAGAATCGAGATTTTTTTCAACATAGAAAATGAAAAATTATCGAGAAAAATTTTTTTTTTAATTTCAATTTTTGACGATTTTGGAAATTTTTAAAAATCTTGAGCAACTTTAAAAAAAATTTTTGTGCTGATTTTTTGAGGAGGCTCTTAAAACATGATAAACTAACATATTTTCACAAGAGTCACCCTTTTTTGTGCCATCCTAATATTTACCTATTTTGCATGGTTTTTTAATGATTGTTTTTCCTTTATTATTTCAGTTAGGTTTATGTAAAAAATTAGGAAAAATACTAATTACGAAAAAATAATACCCACTTACGAATTGTATTAAACCGAATTATTGTTCTTACAAAAAATCCCACACCTGATTCTATTATTTTAGAATGTATACACATATGCCTGTATGATGTAGCATGTTTTCTTTTTGATATCTTTTTCCAGCAAATTTCCTTTACATTATATATCTTTTAATGTTTGCTTTTGCTATTTTAAAAATATATCTAGATATACAGGGTGGGCCACCAGTAACGCCTCGGTGGGTAGGGACCAAACGGGAAATGTTATAGAAACCTGTTTAGGTGGGTATGTGTAGGTTGATTGCGGCTACATTTCATAAATATTTTGAAATATACAGGGGTTCCAGTAAAAGCGTACCATATCAAAGTTATGTATTTTTAAATGGAACACCCTGTATTTTACTGCTTTTTTGAACGCACCGTTAAAAAATAGGTATACTTTATTAAAGATTCTGCATACCTAGGACTTATTATTTGTGAGATATTTGAATTTTAGTGAAAATGCAGGCTTAGCGTAGAAATTCAATATTAGCAATAAAAAAATAATTTGCAGGAAGCAGCTTTGGAGAGTGTATTTTAGATCCTTGAAGTTATAAATTATTATATTTATTGTCGCTTAGTATTGTACAGGGTGTTAAAAAAACTGCTGAATACTTCTCTCAACTTTAAACAGCAATAACTTGGTTATTTTAAATGGGACACCCAGTATATTTTTACTTTGGAAGTTAGGAAATTTAAAACTCTTTCAAACTGTGTATAGGTTCCCTATACCTATCTCTAATTGTATTGGAGATATTTGTGCCGTTTCGTTTTTTATCGAATTTTTTTACAAGATGTATCCACGTGCCTTCATCGAGGTCTTTATTAAACAGGTTTCTATAACATTTGCCGTTTGCCCTGTATAGTAAATGTGGGAATTGTTTTTTTTTTTTTAATTTTTTGAGATTTCTTGCCAAGCTATAAAACTAATAAGAGAAATATACTGATTTAAAGATATTATGTTATACTCGTAGTTATTTTGATGTATTTCTTTCTTTTTACTACATTTCTTTTGACTTCCAATTTTTGTAAGTATCTCTTTAGTTAATTTTATTAATTTCTCAGGAAAAAAAAATTAATTATTTTCTTTAAATGTAAAATAAGCCCTCCCCATTGTTGAGTAAATCGAAAATAATTTATCACAAAAAAATATTAATATATGCGTTTTTTTTCTGACACCTTTGCAAAACTGAAATCAAATCTGCCGTTACACGGTTGTTCAAGCTTTATTTATTTAATACTACTCGTAGTTTGACTTTTTATTAAAAATCCGGCTTCCGACAAACATTCACGACCTGTCGTCGCGCTCGTCTTGCTCCCGCACCACCTCGAAGTAGCAGAAGGTCCTGGCGTTCCTGCACACCGGCCCGCACTTGAGCGACCCGCACTTGGGGCACTCCAGGAAGCATCCGGGACAGCACGGGGTCAGGCAGTCGCATTGATCCAGACCCGTCTCGATGTTGGTGCCTTCCTTCGTGTACAGCCTCGGCTTAGGGCCGGGCTGTTTTCGTTTGCGACCCCTCTGTGATTTGCCGTTCATTCTCTTTCTCAGTAGGTACCTGGAAATTAAAGGCCAGGCTGTAGGGTCGCTTTTGGTGGCCAAAAGAACCCGTTGCCGGAAGGCCGGGGTTTCTTGTGTATTGTGGAAGAAAAGGACATAACCTAACCTAACTTTATACATCTGCATAAAGTTAGGGCAAGGCAGATTAAGTTTTCCTTTGAATGGACTAGCCTAAACTAACTTTATGCAGAAATCTGTAAGATTTTCGTTATCGATACATTAAAAACTTAACCTAACCTAACTTTATGCAGGAATTTATCTCAAAAACACTGATATAACTATCGTGCAGGTAAATTAGTATATTTGCCCTAAGAGAATCCATAAGAACGAATCATGGAAATTTGAAAAATAGAAATTAAATCTAACTGACAGATAATATACAGGATGTTCCATTTGAAAAAATGAAGTTAGGAAACGCGGAGGAAAAATGGGACATCCTATATAAATGAAAATAATTTTTGAAATGTCAATAAAGCTTATTTCATTTTTTTTTAATTGTGCGGACCATCACTTTGCACGCCACTGGCATGTAGAATAAAAACATGCGTTTCATTGACTAATTTCATGGTACGACTTTATTTCTCTCACCAAATAACGGAATTATGCATATTTTCTTAGATAGCATTTCAGTTTATTAAGACACTCCCTGAGTCCCTGTGCATTCTAAAGACAATAAAATCTTGCTTCCAGCTCAGTTAATGACCATAAAGAAATAATATAATATTTATTTGTAAGTATATGTCAGATGGGAAATAATTAATTAACTTACTTGTTTCAAAGGAATAGCTAATTCAATTTAACCAATACTCTTATTATTTTATATTTGTTTACCTTAATTGACATATATAGGCAGGCAATTGTTAATAATATTTATAAAGCTACTTATCAAATAAATGTTATGATACTAAATCAATGATGTACCTTGATATCTCTTTCTCATTTTTGTGTTTTGTTTGCCTATTTTTTGATATCTTCATAGTAGGACTATGGATTTCAAATCAATTCACAACGTTTAAAATCAGACCCTATCGACTTAAAAACAATCGATAAAGTAGGGGACTAACATTGAGCCGCTCGATTTTCATTTGGATAATGTAGATTCTCGATCGTAGATGGCCCTGAGACTATTACGAATGAATTTAGTTCGCTGTACATTTAAAATATAATCGAAGATACCTATAATTTCTTTTAGTTTGTGTAGTAACTGTAAGATTTTAGATTACTCCTAGGTTAAAAATACAAAGTGCAGGTAGCTGTAAGTTTATAATGCAATCTAATTGACGAATATTCCAGAAGATGGCGCGGCATAGCAATCTGGATAAAACCTATAAAATTAAATAATCACTGAATTTTAATTTAATTTAATTTTTTTATAAAGTACTCTAATACCTGTACCTATTCACTTCCGACTTGTTTTTAAACAATTAAATGTCAATCACCTCCAATCACATACTCGTTTTTTTTTTTGACAACTTTCACAAAAATTGAAAAACATGTAACCCTGCAGTACCTATACTTTTTATAATATAGTTATTCAATTAATTAATCAAAAATATGACCTGAATAAGTACGTATAGTTAAATTAAAAATATAAAAATTTTTAAATAGTTAAAAACTATAAAATTTTTATTTTGTGTCAAGCGACACTAAATAAAAGTATTTACAAATCAATCAATTCAATATACATTTGTACTTAAACTACGCTCTCCTAATCCTTTGTCCCAGAGGAATCCACAGCTGGTTGAAAAAAGCCCGTATAAGAAAAAATTACGGTTTAATCATCTTTCTAAGTATTCAGTTGTTGTTGTTTCATCCAACAATGCTTGTAGCTCCTCGCAGTGCCAAATACCCAGCAGTTATATCCATAGGCAGGTCTACAATTGTTGCGTATTCATCCTTGTTCGCAAATCTCAGTCTTGTTTGGGGATCAGTATATGGTGCCGGTAAGCCGGAGAGATCCGAAAACTTTTCTGGTGGTTTAAATGAAGGAGGTGCATTTATTGCACTGTAATGAACAGCTTCCTCTGGCCATGGAAGTGCTTTTTCGGACGAAATTATTTGCTTCAATCCTTTCCATACAAATTTTTTCTTGGTTGTCTTGTTCAACTGGAAGGTAGACTGCTTGAAAATTAGTTTTTGGTCCAATTTCTGCTCCTCGGTGGTCATTTATGACAAATTTTATAAAAAATAGTAAAAATACGTTTCTCTCCTTCTTTACTATTAAGTTACCAATTACCATCATCGATATTTGACATTTCACATTACTATCTGACGTCTGTCAAATGTCTAAAAACAATGTTATTTTTGAACAGTGCGTTCAGAAAATAATATAATTCTGAAGAGTAATAATTTTTATTGTACTGTCTTACAACTGCAAATATTTATTATATTTTAAAATTTAAAGAATCACGTTCATTAGCAAATTTCCTATTGTATTTTTTGATCTACTTATTTAAACGCAGATCCACTAAATTTTCTCTTAGACCTTTTGTGCCGCTACCACAGAAGATAAAACAATTGTTTTATTTTCTGTGCCGCTACTGCTTCTCCCTTCTCCCAGTTCTCCCCACCCCTTTCACATTTCCAAAATGTCTGACGAAGTTCGTGTGTCGTTCTAGTCGGAATTCGTTGAGAAAATATAGAAAAATATAGGTAAAAGCCGTCAAAACTAGTGGAAAACCACAACAATATAGAGTATATTGTTTATACGGACGAATGTAATATTTCGTTCAAGAAATGTAAGTGAAATGTAGTGTTAAGTCGTGTTAATATGTGTATTGATTTTTGATCTAATCGCCGTCCATCGTCGCGTCGGGGCATTTACCTTCAAAAGGTAAAATTAGAATATTTTCGTTCCGATTTTTTTAATTTAATTTCCGTCGCGCTGTCGCCAGTGAAAAGTGACCGTCTGCCGTTTTCGAGACTCTTGTGACTTGTGCTTTTTTCTGTTATGTGCGGGCGTTATTTTTATTTAAAAAACTACCATACGGGATTTACTGTGACATTGCCAGTGTCCTATTTTTAATTTTCGTTACTCGCGTGCTTCTTATACGCGATACCTTGTCGGAATATCGCGAAATTGCCAAAAAAATACCTCTGTGAAAACGAAAAACATTCAGGTTATGTTAATTAGTAGTTTCTGATTAATAAAGAGTATAATGGGAGTGAATGCTGCATGAGTGGGTGAATGTTGTGTGTGCATTAACATAGTCACGTAAGTAAGTGGTACTAATCTCTTGATATGTCTCGATCGAGCCTCGCTAGAAATCACATTGCAATGGTTGTCGGGGTGGCAATGTGGGGGGTGATTTTGGTATCGATACCTAATTACGCGATTCGTGATTTTAGCGCCGTTACATGACCGATTCTGCGCGAATTTGCTGGCCAGAGGTGAAATTTTTGGAAAGAAATCGAAAACCTGCTGTGTGATCCATTTCTGAGCACCTCTTGAAAAGTGCAATAGTTTTCGAAGTGAGTTGCCTTGTACCATAGAGTAAATATATTTCCTTAATAATGTTCATTGTGCCCTCAGTCGTAGTAAAATTACTGTAGTTTTGTGTTTCAAAGCAGATGTTTATATTCTCACAATATCTAACAATGTTTTTTATAGGTACTTTGAAAACTGAGTACTGAAAAATGTTTTTCTATAGCAGAAAAGTAATTTTACTATCATATATCTAATTTGTTTCAAACATTATAAACTGTCTCATAACAACATGAAAGAAACTGTATTCACGACGGTGTGTTCTTATTTAAAAATTAGCAGGTATTAAAAAACTGCATACGTTTATGTTACATCTTGGGTTATTAGAGGTGGAAAACTGAAGCGAATGCAGTTTATTGCATGTTTTGAGTTGATAAATTGTCCCAAGCAAGTCAATTTAAATATTAAATAAGTAGAATTTGGCATACGTTTAATTTGAGAGGACATTTTATAGAATGTCTACAAGAAGAAGAAGTAGAAGTAGGGATAAGAAAAATATTCCTGCCAAGCTTAGAATGGATACGAAACCTCAAACACCTCGAATTACAGGTACAACTGAAACAAAAATTAGTAATTGCACATAACGAACACATTAAATTTTGATCTATGCCTAGTTTTTTTTTTTTGAAGCACCAAAAATGTTATGTTTTTCAGACCCGAGTTTACCGGCAGGTCGTAGAAGGGAAATAGACAACGTTATGAAAAAGGCCCGAGCCCAAACATCCCCAACTTCGGGAGCATTTTGGGATAAAAAACTGCTGGAAGTCGAAGCTAAGGATCCCAACAGGTGAGTTTGTATCGCAAACTGTCAAAACTGACCCCTAAACTATAATTTCGTGCTTAATCTGCAGGTGGCGCCACAGCGGCTACAAGTCTCTCTACATCGACGGCTCCTCGTCGCCCTCCTCCGGCCGGCGCAGCCGCTCCCGTTCCGCGGCGGGCCGGCGGAGCCGCTCGCGCTCGCCGAGCGGCCGCCGGTCGCCCCGCTCGCCGCCGTACGCCCGTCGCTCGCCGCGGTCGCCCCCGCCGCGCCGCTCCTCGCCGCCCCCGTCGCGCCGCTCGCCCCCCAGCTACAGGCCGTCGCCGCTATCCGGCAGGCGCACCCCCCGGCCCGTCCGGCCGCGATCGCCGCCCTCGCCGGCGCAGGCCTCCGCCTCCCGCCACAAGCCGCCCCCCAGGAGGTCCGCCTCCGCCAGTTCCATCAGCAGCTGCTCCGACGACTCGTGCTCCGTGTGCTCCCCCAAGGCGCACAGGGGCGCCAGATCCAGGTAATCCCTTTAGAAATTGGTGCTGAAACGATTTCGATTGAGCACGAGATTAATCCACTTCCACAGGTCCAGGTCCTTCTCCCCGCAGAGGTCTCGCAAGCCAGTAAAAGTAATCTCTCCACCCCCGAAGGCGGTTGCCCGTGCTCGGCCCCCGTCCCCCTCGCTGCCACCCAGACGCATGCCGAGACCGATGACCCCTCCCCCGGCCAAGAGGATAAGCAGCAGGCCCAGCCCCTCGGACAGGCCTACCGACCCCAGGAGGCAGCCGCCTCCCCCCAGGCCCAGGGGAAGCACTGGGGAGATCATCAACGTGAGGGGAGTCAAGCCGCCCGCCAAACCGGGTGCCATAAAGAAGCCCGCAGAGAAAGGCCCCGTACAACCCGTAAGTACATAATGTGATCTTACAGTACCTAATGCTACTGGTAGCGGTAATCCACTAATATAAAGTAATCCACTAATATAGAGGTAATCCGTTAATATAAAGGTAATCCACTAATATAAAGGTAATCCATTAATATAGAGGTAATCCACTAATATAAAGGTAATCCACAATATAAAGGTAATCCCCTAATACAAGGGTAATCCGCTAATATAAGGGTAATCCACAAATATAAAATAATCCATTAATATATAAAGGTAATCCACAATATAAAGGTAATCCCCTAATATAAGGGTAATCCACTAATATAAAACAATCCATTAATATATAAAGGTAATCCACTAATATAAAGGTAATCCACTAATATAAAGGTAATACACAATATAAAGGTAATCCCCTAATATAAGGGTAATCCGCTAATATAAGGGTAATCCACTAATATAAAGGTAATCCGTGATATAAAGGTAATCCACTAATATAAGGTAATCTGCTAATATAAAGGTAATCCGCTAATATAAGGGTAATCCACTAATATAAAGGTAATCCACAATATAATAGCCTAAATGTGACTCTATCCGTGAAAAAAAATTTGTAGATGTTGCTGAAGAGGATCAAGAAGGAGCGGACGGGCAAACGGCCCGGCTCGCCCGGTGCGGAATCCTCCGGTTCCGAGGACAGCAGTTCGGGAGTCGCGAAGCCGATCGTAGCCACAACCGGCCTCACCCTGTCCGAGAGGTTCGGGAAGATAGCCCAGTGGAGCGCCGACAGGGAAAGGAGGGACATAGAGAATATGAGGATCACGAAAACCGGCAGCAACATGAAGGTGATGGTGGAGGAGGATGATTTTCTCTACGGAAGCCCGCCTAGAAGGTACAGGTGGGTGGTTATCTTTTTGGTTTGTTTTTGTTTTTTTTTTTCAGTTGGTTTGCAAAAATATTTCTGTTTTTTTTTAATGAGATTAGAGTGTTTACGAGGACTGCTACTAGATGTCGCTTACCTGGAAAGTAAAATCCTTACGTAGTCCAACTAAATGTTTAGGGGAAAAAAAATTGTTACTTTGACTTTTATGAGTGGAAATGGTAAAGAGGATTATAATAAACGTAAAAAAAATAAATGCATGAAAACGGGTGAAAATGATATTGCAATTTTCGGCGAAAAAATAAAGTATCCACTACAAAAGTTGTAGATCATGCAAAAATCTACAACTTAGGTCACTTTTTAACATAACCTCAAAATTTCTGAGAAAAATGTGAAAAATCGTGTTCTTTTTTGTTTTTCGATTTTTATTTTTGACCTGCAGAAATAATTTAATTTTGATGAATCTTGGTGGAAGTATCCCTTTCTGTGTCTTAAATAATCACAATTTTTTATATAAAAAAATCGGAAAGTTTCCGAGATATTTATCTAATCGGTGGGAAACTTTTTTTTCAAAAAAAATTCTACTTAGAAGAATCATCGTACAAAGTTCTGCCGTACATTTCTTTTTGTTTTGACATACTTTTTGGTAAAATCAAAAAGTCTGTAATCACAATTCAAAAACATGCTCAAATATAAAAAAAACAAAAAATTACTGTTTCATTTTTTTTAAATTCGGAAACTGATTAGGTACATCGTTCAATTGTATGGGAAAAAATACAATAGAAACTGTCCAAGCAAATTATGCTTAGCTTAGAGAAAAAAAAAAAATTGATTCCTCGATTTTTATGAGTGGAAATGGTAAAGATTATAACGTGATTTTCAGGGAAACTTGATGTCAAAAAATAAAGTATCCAGAATAAAAGTTGTAGATCATGCAAAAATCTACAACTGATGTAGAGGTCACTTTTTAACATAATCTCAAAATTTTCGAGAAAAATGTGAAAAATTGTGTTCTTTTTTGTTTTTCGATTTTTATTTTTTGACTTCTGAAAATATAATTTAATTTTGATGAATCTTGGTGAAAGTATACCTTTCTGTCTTAAATACCCACAATTTTTCATTGATAAAAAAATCAAAAAGTTTCCAAGATATTTATCTTTTCCGATGGGAAACTTTTTTTCAAAAAAAAAAAATTCTAAGAAAAATCATCGCACAAAGTTCTGCCATGCAATTTTTTTTGTTTTGACATACTTTTTGGTAAAATAAAAAAATCTAATCACAATTCAAAAACATGCTCAAAAATGCAAAAAAAAATTACTAAATTTTTTAAAAATTCAAAAACTGATTACACCATTCAATTATACGGAAGAAAATTCAAAAGAAACTGTGTTTCATTGTTTGACCCAAAACTTTATTTTCATACAGTATTGCTATGAACATATTAAGTCGAATAATTTTGTTTCCCGAGCAATATCACCATATTGCTAACCTGTAATACAATCCAGTAAAGAAGTTAGTTAAAGTGAAAAACCATTCAGAAATTTCTTTTGTTTATTAAAAAAAATACAACGAATACAAATAATAAACTTCCTTGTTTTATTTGAAACGACTTATGATTTTCAAAATTTTTTCTAACAAAAGAATTTCCTGAACGGGTTCTCACTTTAACTAACTTCATTACTTGATTGTATTACAGATTATCAGTATGGGTGATCCTGCTCACTACCCAAAATTATGCGACTTGATTGTTTAAAGCAATACTGTACAAAAATAAAATTTCGGGTCAAACGATGAGATACAGTTTTTTTTTAATTTTTTTCCATACAATTGAATGGTGTAATCAGTTCTGCACTTTTTTTTAAATTTAAACAAATTATCAACAATTACTGAAAAATTCATTGCTGCAAGAGTAATTTTTTGTTTTTCTTTGCATTTTTGAGCATGTTTTTGGATTATGATTATACATTTTTTTTTTATCAAAAACTATGTTAAAACAAAAACAATGAGCACTGGCAGAATTGGGTATGATGATTTTTCTAAGTAGAATTATTTTTTGAAAAAAGTGACCGGGCAAAATAAATATTTCAGATATTATTTATCTTATCTTTATTTTTTTTTGTCTAAAAAAATTTGTGGTTATTTAAGACACAGAAAGGTATCCTTTTACCAAGTTTATTCAAAATTAAATTATTTTTGCGAAAATGAAAAATAAAAAACGAAAAACAAAAAAGAACGTGATTTTTCGCATTCTCGGAAATTTTGAGATTATGTTAAAAAGCAACCTGTACAAAAGTCGTAGATTTTTGCATGATCTACAACTTTCGTATTGGATACTTTATTTTTTGACGTCAACTTTTGCCGGAAATCCCAATAATACTATTTTGGTAAATAAAGTGGCTAGAACCCGTTACATCCTACATTGTAACAATTTAATTTTTTTTTACAAATATTTTTATTTGAGCAAAAAGACTGTTTTTCTTCTAATAAGAAATTTTTTGACTCAAGTCTCATCGAATTCGAGTCAGCACGCACTTAGCGCTTGTATTTATTTTTACGCTGGACTCACCGCCCGTCTCTTTCCAGTCTGTCCCCGATCCCCTCGGGGCACTTCCCCGACGAGCTGTTGTCCTCAGGCCAGTCCAGGCAGGCGGCCTGGGACGACGTCCGGGTAAGGTACCAGTACTACAAGGACCTGGGGTACCTGAGGGACCTCACCCTCGACGACTACATCAAGTGGGAGGAGTGGTGGTACAAGTACCAGGACTGGCTGGCCAACGAACGCCACTACGAGCACTGGCTCAGTTCGCAGAGTAGCGGCAGGCGGAGGGGCAAGAAGCGCATACCGGCCACGCAACGTCTCAACTGAAGCGGCGGACGCCGTCGTTAAACGAGCTGTTTTTTGTGATATTTCACGAAGTTTATTTTCTAACACTTGACTTTATTCAAAACGTTTTTTTTGTCAGTCCGAATCGAGGTAAGTATTTCACATTTCGTAACGCTTCGTAGGCTAGGGTTTTAATTATAGTTACAAGTGATCCTTTTTTTTTTAATTTTTTTTTCGCCTGGATTATCTTTTTAAATATACCGATTTATTTTAGAATATAATTATGTATCTCTATTATACATATAAGATGATAGTAAATGGTTATTTATTATGTCGGCGTTTTGACTGTTTGCCCCTGCCACCCTCCGTTCCTCGGCCACACTTTATTGAGGGGTAACACCACTGTAGAGGTTGGGAAAAAGGTGATTTTCGGGATTTTTCGTGGGAAAGTCGATGCAAGATAGAGTTTCACAAACAAAAAGGCTTTATTGTACAATTGTTCAAGCATTCTGTGACGGGTTAATGTTAAATTTTAGATTGAGTTTCTCGTTATTTAAATTTGATCCAAAATGGCGAACATGGCCAAAAACATTCGCAAAGTTCAAAAAACGGTTTTTATGCTAAAAATGTTTTTTTTGCAACACATATTTTTTTCATCAAAAAATGTTCAAAAACATTTTTTTTTTAATTTTACAATTTTTTTTTAATTTTTTACAAAATTTTTTTTAGAAAATTTATTTTGTTTCTTAATTTTTGACAAAAATTATTTTTTTATAAATTTTTTTACCTACAAAAATTATTTTTTAATTTTTTTACAATTTTTTTTAATTCTCTACAAAATTTTTTTTAGAAAATTTATTTTGTTACTTAATTTTTGACATTTTTTTTATAAATTTTTTTACCTACAAAAATTATTTTTTTTTAATTTTTTTACAAAAATTAACGGTTTTTAAATTAAAAATGTTTTTTTGCAATAATCCATATTTTCTTCATCAAAAAACGTTCATGATTCTAAAATTATTATAATTTTTTTTTAATTTTTTTACAAATAATTTTATTTAGAAAATTTAGTTTTTTAATTTGACAAAATTATTTTATAATTTTTTTACAAAAATGTTTTTTTTGCAATAATCCATATTTTCACCAAAAAAATTTCATAAACAATTTTTTTTAAAATTTGTTTTCAAAATTTAGTTTCTTAATTTTTGACAAAAATTGTTTTTATATAGATTTTTTTACCTACTAAATTTTTTTTTAATTTTAGAAAATCTATTGTTTTTTAATTTTTGACAAAAATTATTTAAAAATTTTTTTTTCACAAAAATTAAGTTTAAATTAAAAATGTTTTTTTTGCAATAATCCATATTTTCTTCATCAAAAAACATTCATGATTCTAAAATTATTAAAATAATTTTTTTTTTAATAAATTTACAAATTTATTTTAGAAAATTTAGTTTTTTAATTTGACAAAATTATTTATAATTTTTTTACAAAAATGTTTTTTTTTGTAATAATCCATATTTTCATCAAAAAATGTTTATAAACAATTTTTTTTTTAATTGTTACAAAATTTTTTTTAGAAAATTGTTTCTTAATATTTGACAAAAATTTTTTTTTATTTTTTCACAAAAATTAAGTTTAAATTAAAAATGTTTTTTGCAATAATCCATATTTTCATCAAAAAACGTTCATGATTCTAAATTTATTAAAATAATTTTTTTTTAATTTTTTTACAAATTATTTTTTTTAGAAAATTTAATTTCTTTAATTTGACAAAATTATTTTATAATTTTTTTACAAAATTGTTTTTTTTTGCAATAATCCATATTTTCATCAAAAAATGTTCATAAACAATTTTTTTTAATTTTTTTTTCCAAAATTTTTTTTAGACAATTTATACTTAATTTTTGACAAAAATTGTTTTTTTTAGAAATTTTTTTACCTAAAATTTTTTTTTATTTTTTTTAGAAAATTTGTTTTTTAATTTTTGACAAAAATTATATTTTAAAATGTTTTTTTGCAATAATCCATATTTTCTTCATCAAAAAACGTTCATAATTCTAAAATTAATAAAATCTTTTTTTAATGTTTTAACATATTTTTTGAAAATTTAGTTTTTTAATTTTTGACAAAATTATTTTATAATTTTTTTACATTTTTTTTATTTTTTTACAAAAATTAAGTTTAAATTAAAAATGTTTTTATATTGCAATAATCCATATTTTCTTCATCAAAAAATGTTCATAAACTATTTTTTTTTTAATTTTTTGCAAAATTTTTTTGAAAATTTAGTTTCTTAATATTTGACAAAAATAATTTTTTTATAAATTTTACCTAAAATTTTTTTTTATATTTTTTCGAAAATTAGTTTTTTTAATTTTTGACAAAAATTATATTTTAAAATTTTTTTACTTTATAAATCTTTTTACCTAATTTTTTTTTTATTTTTAGAAAATTTGTTTTTTAATTTTTGACAAAAATTATATTTTAAAATGTTTTTTTGCAATAATCCATATTTTCTTCATCAAAAAACGTTCATAATTCTAAAATTAATAAAATCTTTTTTTAATGTTTTAACATATTTTTTGAAAATTTGGTTTTTTAATTTTTGACAAAATTATTTTATAATTTTTTTACAAAATTGTTTTTTTTTGCAATAATCCATATTTTCATCAAAAAATGTTCATAAACAATTTTTTTTAATTTTTTTTTCCAAAATTTTTTTTAGACAATTTATACTTAATTTTTGACAAAAATTGTTTTTTTTAGAAATTTTTTTACCTAAATTTTTTTTAATTTTTTTTAGAAAATTTGTTTTTTAATTTTTGACAAAAATTATATTTTAAAATTTTTTTACTTTATAAATCTTTTTACCTAATTTTTTTTTTATTTTTAGAAAATTTGTTTTTTAATTTTTGACAAAAATTATATTTTAAAATTGTTTAACAATTTTTTTATTTTACAAAAATTAACGGTTTTTAAATTAAAAATGTTTTTTTGCAATAATCCATATTTTTTTATCAAAAACCCATAATTACGACTTGCAGAGAATACTTTGCAGTTTTCAAAACCTTGCTTGGATTTTCTGTACAACCATTATTTCCCGAGCAATTGATTGCCAAGTCAAAAATGTTTTTTTTGCGTTGATCGACAATAACAGCTATAAATAATCGTACAAGGCTCCGGAACCGCTCAAATTGAAGATAATTAAATTATCTAAAAGAGCTTTATGATGAAATTAACAAAAAAAAATGTTTTGAAGTCCATACATTTTTTTCCCGTTGATTTGTTTATAATTACTCAAAAACTGCTTACGTGTAAAAATTTTAAACCGCAGATCTGAAAACTAGACACTTGAAGCCTCAACTTCCTTTATTTTTGATTCTCTCTACGACCATTTCCCTCCAAGTTACAGCTCTTTGAAAATCACCCAAAATTTTTGGATTTTTTTAATATCCATTTCTGTGCCTAGTGTATTTTTACTTTATGAAAATGACTTAAAAAAAGAAATTGCTGACATTTTTTCATATTTAAAAAAAAAAAAAATGTTTTTCTGGGATCTGGAGCCTCAAAATTTTTTTTTAACAAAAAAAAAGTTGCCTTTGTTCGTCATAGATTAAAAATTTATTTAATTCGTAAAAAATGTCAGCAATTTCTTTCTATAAAAGTCGTCATAAAGTAAAAATTGAAATAGTTGCTTGAAAGCAGTCGAGATGCTCACACAAAATTTTGAAGACGTTCACCGTAAACGAAATCACATCCACAGTGTCATTTTAACATTAGCTGCAACGCTTTAAAATTAAACCACCACTTTCCAAAGCGCCCCTTGATAACGAATGAAAACTAACCGATTTTGTATTTTTTCTTTATTTAATACTACAGCTTACAAAAATATAACAAATGTGTACTTAAATTGGTAACTAATTTAAAATTGGTTCTTTCTCTGAATTACACGATCATAAAAATTTAAAAAAATAATTCTACCTGTACAGAACAAATTCACTATTGACCTTTAGTCGCTTCGTATTTGGAAAAATTTGCGGTTATTAACTAACGGCATCGAGGTAGAAAAAGTGTACAAAATAAAAAAAATTGTCACTCGGAAAATACAGAGAGAGAAAAATGTAACATTGTGTTTCTGAGTATAACGAAACGTACACTCACCCACATATTTTGCTTATTTAATTATAATACAGCGTGTCCTGCTTAAAAGTCTCCGATTTAACACAGCCTTCGTTTGTACACAAATTTGCATTACCTAGCATTAACCTAATTAATGTTAAAACCGATTGGGAGAGGTTAAAATTTTTTCTCGACTTTTACTCTAATTTTTGGTGGCCGTTTCTATTCTATGACAGCAGTTCCCAACTATGTATTGCACGTGATTTGAGCCAAACGTCACCGGCAATGTGAGTCTCGGACGCATCGTAAAGTTATTACACATAATTGACGTTTGATTTGTACAGTTTTGACTGCCAAACAATGCTTGAACGTTTTATCGGGAAAAGTTTGGGAACCGCTGACCTGTAAGTTAAGCAAAAACATTGAGCAAAGATATCCGGCTGTTAAGGCACTCCGTGGAGTTAGAAAGATTGAAACCGCGCAGGTGTTACGTTGTAAGCTTGGAAATATGAAATCACCCGAAAGAAAAAGAATAAGGTCACACTGCATATAACGACACAAACGTGCTACATAATACCTTAAGCGATAAGTAAAAATATTGGAATAAAATCTCTATATTAGAAAAAAATTAAACAAATGGCGACATCACAGTTGACCCGTTGGATTAATCTGTGCGAAAATTTAAGGCACGACACAGTAGCTGCAGACGTTCTCCCCATCCACTTGAATAAAACTTGTGACAGACAAAAAAAAATCAACTAAGAAAGAATAATCTTAAATAAAAGTATAATTGTTCGAATAAACCATGAGAAATATGTTAATTCTGCGGCTGCTTTTTGTACTGAGTGTCCAACAACCGAATGCGACCCAATCTGTTGACGATCTCGTCCTTGACATCCTGGGTTCGCCTCGCGTAAGGCGCCCCACAGAAGCTGTCTAGTTCCTCGCAGTGGCATATGTACTGCTCCCATTTGTCGTCGGTGCCCAAAACGTGAGGGCAACCGATCACGATCAGTTTACTCATCGCTCTGGTCAGGGCCACGTTGAATCTCTGAAAATTTTACGACGTGCACCTCGAACGGCAACGTGACGTTACTGACTCACCTTTTCGTTCTTGACGAATCCGAGGTTGTACTTCCTGTCGTACGCCAGTAGATTGTCCTTTGCTCGCACTGTGCTGATTATGATTATGCGTTTTTCACGGCCCTGGAAAGTTTCCGTCGTTCCTACTTCGATCCCGGCAAAGTTGTTCTTCCGTAGCTGTTCCCTGATGTTGTAAACCTGTAATGTATATTTGAATTCAGACCCTTCGCTGATATACGTTTGCTGAAAAATCAGAAGCGGGTCAACAATGTCAAAAAATCAGAAGTGGTCCGAAATGTTGAAAAAACCGGAACGGCTAAAAATTCAATGTAAATATTTACGACATAATTATAAAATATTTGTACCTGTCGTATGTAGGGAGTGACCACGCCGATGTGTTCGGGAAGCACTTTGTGTTCCTCGCTATCGAATCCGAGTTGCGTTAGTGTCTGCACGTACTTCAGCACCATTTGCGTCTCCTTGTAGTTGAAATAGCTGCATGATAATTTAAATTGTAGTTGTTCATTAATTGCAAATCAAGGTGACTCACCTGGGGGACCTTCCCTGTCGGCACTCTTGAGAGATAATCGAGCAAAATTCTACGGCTTGTCCGGGTCGTGGGAGTTTGTTCTTCTTCTTCTTACACAAGCCTGGTATCTTTTCAAAAACGCATATGGCAGCCAATTGGTCGCTGTGCGCCCTTGTCGAGACGGCCTGGAAAAATACGGCAATAAATTATCAGAAGCGGGATAAATATGTCAAAAAATCAGAAGTGGGCTAAAAAAAATCAGGAATGCTTACCTGCAACTGGTCGTCGTAGAACAGCTTATTGGGCAGGGTAAGGATAGTACGATGGGATCGGAAGTTCTGTTTCAACATGGTTATAAAGTTCGGGTTCAGGGTTCTATATAATTCCAGATTCATCAATCTCTCCAGCAACGATACTCCTGAAACAGAATAATTTTTCAATCCTTGTCACAGCGAGCGCATGTAACTTACCCAATCCGTACCTTCCTGACACTCTGGATGCGACCGACGGTCCCAGTTGCTTCGGATCCCCGGCTAATACGATCTGTTTGCCCTTTTCGATCATGCCGAGGGCGCAACAAGCCTCGGGTTCGTACGGCTGGGCCGCCTCGTCGATAAACACCACGTCGGGGTGGTATTTTCGGGAATAGCGACCGATAAGAATCAAAGTTGTTACCACTATTCTATACTCGGATATCTCTTCCGCTGTGGGTTTTAAAAATTCGCCGTTCTGATAGTTCGTGTACCCCAAAATCAGCTCGTTCATATTTTGCCTAGTAAGAAAAAAACCATTTACTACGAAGTACAATTTTACGTCACCACTTAATACGTACTTATCCACATTCTCGGACATGATCCTGATCAGCTCCCTTCTAGTGCAATGCATCATCAACTTCTCCGTCAGCATGTCGCAAGCCGCGTTGGCAGGCGCGCACACCAGTATCTTCTTGTTCGTCTTCTTCTTTATCTGCAAGATGGCTTCGACGATGGTCACGGTCTTTCCCGTACCGGGAGGACCGAACACGACGTACGGGGCGCTCATAGAAGTACCGTTAAGGATGTTCAGAACGGCCATCTTCTGTTCCTTGTTCGCCACGATCGTGTTGTTGAAGAATCTGGAATAATCGATTAGTGACGCTTTAAACGCAACTTAGAGAGAAACGTACTCGGTCTCGCGGATCGTCTTCGTGCTCGAAACGATCCTTCTGCTCAGGCTGTAATCGGGGAAGAAATACGGAACGATACCGTTCATCACGGTCTGGTCCACGCCCTGGTGCATCCGCTCCAACGGTAACCGGTTCATCACGAACCTGACGTCTAATTCGATTTTGGGGTTGCTCTTTATATAATCCACAAGCCTGAAAAGAACGATATTTTTTCCTGGTGTTGGCACAATAAATTGGCGTTAATCAATTGTTCGGTTAAATTTAAACGAAAAGAACGAAACTTTTTAACGAATACTATATAGTCATGTTTCCAGAGTATCTTGCGTAGTAATGACATATTTTATAGGTTATATTCCACCCACGTGCAAAATCAATGAAATTTTAGACCAACATTATAATGAAATAGTTGTTCTCGGACTAGATTTGTGGGGGTGGACCCATTATCAGAACCCCTAGGCCCGTTGAACCCACACAACCTAGCCCGAGAACAACAATCATATTTTAAATCACCAATCAAACTTATTTAACGATTTTTGATGCACCATGTCACATGTCAAGATTAACAATATGTTAATCTTGATACAGCTGTAGCTACCCGCCACACAGAACCCGCCAAACAGAGCCTTACTTGTGGTGGGGGGCCCCCAAAAATTTTTTTCATTAAACAACGCTTAAAACCACGTAATTAATTAAGTAGAAAATAATCAAAATGTATCGAAACTAGTATTTTTACACCGAAATCAAACGAAATGGGCATTAAATAAACAATTGTAATCGACAATCGCAAGGAAGCAACTTTATGAGAAGAATCGATGTAACTTTTTACACAATTATTATTGACCAGCGAAACAAAATCCCTGCAAGTTTCCTGATCAGGAATCCGGTGTCAGAATTGAGCCATCACATCACCAGAATTTCCTAACCTCAAAAAACAGGTAAAAAATAGCAAAAATTCTTAAAAGTGCTAGGAAAAATATTAAAATTTTTTTTCCTATATTCAAATGTTCAATTATATAGTTAAGACCCCGCCCAACGTGAATCCCCGATCAGCATTAATGGTTCTTTTTCTAACCTCAAAAAAACGGGTCAATTAAAGTCGGATATCACGAATTTTCAAACAATAACAGATTCGCGCCCAATTTGGTATACGGGGGTTTTCTGGGTCGCCGATAACGAATCCAAAGTCAATTTTGCAAAATTCAAGATGGCGGATCCAAATGGCCTACCAAATAACAGAATCGCAACAAATTTGGTATATGGGGGTTTTCGGGGTCGCTGGTTACGTATTCGAGGTCAGAATTGCGAAATTCATTTTGTAATAATTTACTTTATAACCCGAGTACCCAATCATGTGTTAATTTACTTCTTTTCGGCTATATCTTGTTCTTTTTTCTGTAAAGGATCTATTCACGGGTTGAATTTTGTAAATCTGATCTGATCAGTGACCTCGAAAACCCCCGTATACCAAATTTGGCGCGAATGCGTTATTTTTTGAAAATTTGGTCGGCCGCCATCTTGAATTTTGCAAAATTTACTTCGAATTCGTGATCACCGACCCCGAAAACCTACTTATACAAAATTTGATGCGAATCTGTTATTTTTTGAAAATTTGGTCGGCCATCTTGGATCAGCCATCTTGAATTTTGCAAAATTGACGTCGGATCCGTGATCAGCGACCCCGAAAATTCCCGTATACCAATTGGCGCGATTTCGTTATTTTTTGAAAATTCGTTATATCGCGTTAATTGACCCGTTTTTTTTTTTAGGTTAGAAAAAGAACCATCAATTCTGACCGCTAATTCACGTTCGGCGGGGTCTCAACTATATAAATGAACATTTGAATGTACAAAAAAAATTTTTGTCTAGTTTTCCTAGCACTCGTGAATTTTTGTTATTTTTGACCCGTTTTTTGAGGTTAGGACATTCCGGTGATGCTCAATTCTGACACCGCACTCGTGATCAGGAGGCAAAAATTCTACTGATAACATATGTCGCATGAAAAGTAGACTACATTTTATACATAATTATGTGGTTTTAAGCTTCGTATAATGAAAAAAATTTTTTTGGGGCTCCACCGCAAGTACGGATCTGTTTGGCGGGTTCTGTGTGGCGGGTAGCTTCAGCTTCACATAATCTCGATGGCCACCGACTGATTTCTTCATAAAATAACTTTTATTTCTTTTGATACTCACTCATTATTGACATAACCTATGTCAACCGTCTTGTCGTTAACCCTCTTGATAACCCCTCTGTAAGCTCGGTGATCTTCATGGACTCTAACTTCAATCATGTCCCCGGCAATCACGGAAGGCCTCTTTTCCGCCAAACCGGGCACCTCAAGCTCCAGAAGCTCCCCGTTCACCGCCATCGTAACCTGAAATAAAGAATGAGCGAAACACGGCCAAAGACACGTTAGTTTCACGTTACGTTTTCCATGTTGTATCTTTTCAACATCAACACCTGTGCCACTTCCTCCAACCAGAGTACGATGTGCCAGAACATTCGGTAGTTGCCTACGGTGACGTGGCTTGGATCCAATTGCGCCCTAAAATAGCGTTTTATGCAGTAAGTACGTAACTAGGCCCGTTACGCAATAATTACGAGAGCAAAATTACCGTTTTGGGCGAGATGTGTTCTATATTTTTTTCTACGACAACTTAATACCACACGTTACCTTTGCAGGTGTCACTATCACTTTCCATACTACCAGATTTATTAGAAATAATTATAACTCAGTATACACATGCACCGATTGACGTGAAATTTTAACAGTAAGTAGAAAATTGCTCAAGAAACAAAAGTTACATACTGCCGATGTGTGCTTTCACGCCGAGGGTGAATGCCACCCCTTCTAGGGATAGAGGGATGAATTCTTAGCAAAAAATGCTCTATAACGTTATTAATATTTTCCAAGTTATTTGCGATTGAAAATGTAGATTATTTCATAAAAAGTGCATGTTTTTCAACAATTTTTGATAAATAACTCGAAAACCTTGCGTTTTATCGAAAAATCCATATAAAGCAAAAATAAAGCTTTTGAAATAACGAATCGATTCATTTTTTGTTGATTACCGTAAATGTAATAATAACCGTAATAATAACTCTCTAAAGGTGATTGTTTATTTCTCGAAAAGTAAAATCGAACCTTTTACCGTAAAATAATGGCGAAAGAACTAATTTTTCAAAGAAAATGAATATAGCCTTTTTTAAAGCGCTTGGAAGGACCTTTAAAATGCTTTTTGAAAAAATTTCGTAGCTCAAAAACTCGCGGAGTTATGATGAAAATAAAATGGGCATCTCATTTTTTCGGAGAAAAAATCAACAATAAAATCTATGGCTGAACTATAAAAATAGAAACTAAGCGTAATCCATGTACAGCTGACATTATTTAGATACTAATAATAGGCTCTGCAAGTTTGACCAGTTTAGAATGCCTAAATTTAAAAAAAAAAGTTGAAAAAAACAAAAAAAAATTTTTAAAACTTAAAAAAATTACCTTTTCTTCAAAATAACTCAAAAACTAAACAAGATACGTGAAAAATGCAAGAGTTCAAAATTAAAGGTCTTTTTTTATTATATTTTTGCTTTCTTTCAAATTTTCTGTAAAGCAAAAATTAACTGAGAAATTACGTTTTTTAGTTTGCATTTGCGTGTAAGGATCACCTTCTTTGAGCCCTTAAAACCTAAAAATCTCGAAAACGAAGAGGTCAAGACCCTTCAACTATAATCGATTTGTAGCTCTTGCAATTCCTTGCAAATTGCTTTCTGGAGCGATGAAAAATATTAAAAATTAAAAAAGTTATCGTGAAAAAACGAATTATATTATTCAGTGAAAATTGTCAGATCATGTAAATGGCTTAATTTCCGATAGTTTCCGAGGCATAATACACACACAAACACACACACGTTGAGTGTTTTGAAGCAGGTAAAAATTCCTCAATTCCTCAATAAGGGTTGAAACGTTGCAATGAATCATCAGGAATATTATAAACAGTGATGAGTCTTTCATTCATTATAAATGCTATGAAAATGTCAAAAAAAATTGTTTGCTTTATTTTCTGCAATAAGGGTGGGTTTTAAGGGTTGAAACGTTGCAATAAATCATGTATTACTTCATAAACAGTAAAAAATATTCAATTCTTCATTATTGCTCCGTCAAAACATTTCAGAGCCGCGAAAACTAATTTTTGTTTTTTTTTCCTCAAAGGGTGGATTTTAAGGGTTGAAATGTTGCTACAAATCAAAAATTATTATTCAAAACATAGAAGAATGCTTATTCCATTGACGTAACACTTAAATCTATGGTTTTTACGTTTTTTGCAACAAGGGGTAGTTTTCACCCCCTAAAAACGATAAGCACACATTATGGACATGTAACTTTTGCAAAGTAGGGTGAAATGAACTTTTTCACCAATTTTCATGAAAATCGGTGCGTGTGTCAAGAATTCGGAGGTAATACCCTATTTTTACCGTTGTATGCTGGACTATTAGGAAAGTACCCGAAATGGTCAAAAATGCCGACAAAAATAAACCGATGACATTTTATTCGATCGAAAGGCATGGTGGACCGCCCACAAAATATTTCACATCGCGTTTATTGCCTATGCAAAACGAAATTTGAGAACGACTTAGAAAAAAAGTAACAAAAACTAATATTTCCGGCACAATTTTGGAGAGATCCTACTTACCTGATGTGTCTCAAATGATTCTGCATTTCTTGTGTTAATCCTCCGAAGTCCCTCAAGCCCATTTTCAAAAAAGGATACATATCCAGAGGAATCGGGTACATGCATATATTTCGCCTGAAACAAGGCTTGTAAGCAATATTTTACGAACTGACACCAGTTACTAAACGACCAAACTGTAATTACTCACTGGTTTTGAGTAGGCGGAATTATCTCGATTGGCTCCAGCCAGTCATTATTGGTGAAAGGGCTCTTGGCTGCCGCTTCCTCTTCTGCAGGAGGAATGTCTTCGACTGATACGATCTAGAATTTACACAACGAACTTATCAGAATATTTTGTATTGTCGAAGAAACGCCGAACATCCCCAAAAAACTGTTCCCGGCAGGTATGTTTCCAGACATCAACACGTGCAAAATCATTTATTTACGGGCCATTGTCGATTTCTTGTTAAGTGTTACAACCGATACGTCATATCTTAATCGTCAATTGCATTCGTAATTTCCGCTGAAGCGCTGCAAACACGACTGTCATACTCACTGTTTCAGACAGCCCCAGAACAAAAAAATCAATTGGGTTTAGGTCGGGCAATTTAAGAGGCCATTTAGCAAATTATTAAACTTTGACGCCTGTTGGGGAAAGTTTTTTTGGAATATGCGTATTTGCCAAATGTATACTTACAAGAGCTCGTGCGATGGTGAACGTATCCACATTGCCGCCAACCGTTTGGAAATTAAATGAAACGGGGATCTTATAGCTGCCAACGACGGGTCTTTCAGTGGCGAATTTGACTAATACTTTATACGGAGGAGCTCCTAGAAGTTAAATTTCGCATTTTACAAATTTCAGTCTCACAAAAACACTTTAAATTTTCTTTGTTACCTGGTTCGAGTTCCACGAAAGAATCTCCCAAGTTGTTCTGTAGGTCGGTTAAAGACCACAATTTATACGGGTGAAGCAGTATGGCAGAGGTTAATATTACGTTAGAATTTTTCCGTTTATTTACAACGGCGCACAAAAATTCCAGATTATTATTGTGACAACGTAAGTTTTCCGATGTAATCTAAAAGCAAATAAATAAGATTTGAAACGATAAAGTTAAGACATAATAATATGATTGCTTTTCCGCACCTTGATTGTGTGTTTTCCTTTTTTTGGATCCACAGTATAATTATAGGTGAACCCATTCACTTGTACCGGCTGTATGTCAACCTCCACTCCGTGACGGTTGTTAACAAGCGCTTTTCTTCATAAAAAAAAACATCGTTCGTAAGTAAATATTTTCAACAGTATGCACAAAAATGAAGGAACATTTTTAAGAACATTTTCTGAAGTAAATATTTGTCCTTTTAACGCTTTGTTTCTGAAACATAGTGTTGAAATTTAAAAAAAGTTATATTTTAATAATAATAAACAAATTAAGATTCACCATTATACAAACAAAAAAGGTGACATAATATTCAGGTTTCAAAAGAAAAACAAAAAACTGTTTTTTTTCTAATGACGCATGACATGCCATATTTTTTGAAGAAAAGTTAACCAGTCCTCTCATATCTACACCACTGGCTTGAACGGGGGCTTAATTCATTCATATTGAATCCAATTTTATCCGTTTTGCGCAGACAAAATTTAATTTTACTGCACTGTACTTTAATGAAATCCTTGATATTCTACTTGAGGTTCCACTATTTCTTGTAAAATATTTTTTTGCAATGACTGCTGTCCTGTCAGCAATTTTATTGAAATTTGGATATTAAATATTATTGAAATCAAATACAGGGTAATTCACAAATGGTGACCAAAAATGGAACCTCGTATTGCTTGGTATATTTACTCAGAATGTTTTGACATACAGGCGCTATTTGTGTTCTTTACAGTGACTTGAAAATAAAAAAAATGGAATTAAGTCATGAACATTTCAGTACGATTATTTTTTTACAACTTTCGATGTGGATTATCTCAACAACAGTGCATCAACGAACTTAATTTGACTTATAGCGATGAAGCACCATCAAAAGCCAAATCGGTGGTATACAGAATCCAACCGTAGCTGTGGTTTGCTCACCGACGAATTTCGTAAAGCAAATGATCGCCCGTTTGTTCAGAATGACCATACACGTGGTAACTGTATCATTACTGCAACGTCGGATGGTCAATTCTGAATGGTACACAACCATTTGTTTGCCAGAAGTCTTCGGCATTATTCTCCACTGGGACAACGCGAGTTCTTGCACATCGGCTCAAACAAGACACGTTTTGAGAACTGAAAAAGTCGAATTGATGAGTCAACCGCCGTACAGCCCTGATTTGGCACCCAATGACTTTTTTTATACCCGCACCTCAAAGATAAATTACGAGAACGTTTTTCGACGCTTTAAGAAGTGGTCGATGTGCCCAAATGCATGTTTCCGAGGTACCTCAATCGGAATGGAGAAAGTGCTTCGGAAATTAATCTTCATGGAGAATATTTTGAAAAATAAAGCCGTATAGGAAGATTAAGACATAAAATCAGGGAACCCCCTCAGAAATAACATTGTCCCGATTAAAATATATCTAAAATTTTATCAGACAATTCCATTATAATAACTGTTTACAACAGATAAGCAAAATAAATATGTTTATCAAAGTCTATTGTCAGAGTAATCAATAACGAAATAAGGGGCTATAATGCTGCTGTAGGAATTTTGTTAACTTAGCATTCTTTATATAAACATGAACACTTGACCAAGTGCATATTTGTTTATATATCTACCTAAGCTCTTTTGCTTTATATCAGTAGCAAAATAATAATGCACAAAATCGTGCTTTCAAAGATAAACATTTTCAATGCTAGTTTCACTGTGTTTTTACCAAGAAAAAATATTATCTCAGTATTTCCAAGCTTCTAATCTTGCTAGTTTTCAAAACTAGCTTTATAAATCTTGCATACCTTTTTTAATTTCGTTATCAATAGCTTGGTGTAAAAAATTTATCACTAATGGTTAAGATTAGCCAAACAAATTAAATTATTATTCTTAATACCACTTCAATGTGTATTTTTAAGATATCAGCAAAAATACAGGTAGTTTTTTTATAGCACTTATCTACGTAGTATTATATTTCAACAAACGGTGAACAAATAATAGTTGTAGATCAAGGTTTTATCACTTAATGAAAAGCTGCAATGAAAAATGTTGCATCACTACTAACACGGAATAAAACATTGTATTAGATAGATAATAACAGGCAATAATATATAACAGCGATAAAAAAGGAATAAAAAAAAATTGATGCTATGATAAAATCATGCGGGTATAGTTAATTTTGTCCAGGCCACATAATAAAATAATTACAAGTATATGCCTCCGAATAATTTAGATTGGGAATAATTTTCTGTATTTATTGTGATGCAACAGTTTAGTTCGCAATTTAATACTATTCGAATGAAAGTTAATTAGGTGACTTACTTGTATCTGTTCCACTCGAAAAGCGTGAAATTGAATCGGTGTGCAGGCGTACCATTGTGGTAGATGTCGTCTTCATCGTGCTCCAAATTACAAACAATGCAATGCTAAAAATTTGGAAAAAAAAGTAATATGTCATTCTGACAGAATTTCGGGGACTTACCCGACCGTCCATATTGGATATTGTTTCTTCTTGATAAAAACCCTGAAAACATTATTTTTTAACCACAAAAAAATAAAACCGGTATTATAAGTGGCACATACGTTGCAAAAAGCGAAACAAGTTAAAAATACATAAAAACACAAAATTCGGGGAAGCTTACCTTGTAATTGTGTGACCACTTTTAGTGTTATTAAAACTACACTAAAATCAAACGACAGAATTAAGGTAAAAATCGAGCGATAAGATAAGACTGTCTCAACTAGCGAATTCGTTTGATTCTCATATTCCTCGCCTCGTCTTTTAGTGAAGCACCGATTATTAGGTCCACTGAAAAATTAATTAAAGTAGATACCTTCTGTGCTACTCCTACCACAATTAAATCCTAACCAAAACAAGACTGGAAAATCCAATCACAAAACGAAACGCAACAGATGCAACACCGATCCAATCAAAATGCGCAATGACAGCACATTGTTATTACTCGTCTTCTTCCTCCGCAATTATTCTCTTGATCTCTTGAGAAACAATGAACCTTTCATTATTTAGTTTTATATCTTAATTTGCAATTCTTAAATTAAAAATTCAAAATCGTCTGTTACATTGACACTAAGAATTTAGTGTCTGATTGACATTTAAGGGTAGATTTATCAAATTTTAAATTACGTTTGACAGACGCTCTTTATTCTCGCTGTATATAGATGCTGAGAGAATCGTTGGGTAAATGTCGATTTCGGTAACCAATCAAAAACGAAGTTTTAGGCATGCGCACATGCGTAATTCCAGATATTTAAAACAAATGAATAAAAAGTATAAAAACTCCTTTTGCTTTTTATCTGGTTCTAGATAAACTTTTTATATTTAAATTTCAATTTAATTTAATTTAAACGCATCAATTTTAGTGTCAGTTAAAGGTGTTTGTTGATATGGTGCCAAATTATACATATGTGTATGTTGAACCGTTACGCCATTACCGAAGTGATCGCAGTGGATTCAAATTGTTGTTATACTGGATATTCAGGTAATGATGCCCTAACATATCTATTCCTTTTATCATAGAAATTGTACGATTTTATATTTTTTAAGCTTAAAAAAATTCTCGATATATGTTGTTGGAACAATAGTAAAAAGCTTAGGCATACTCAAAATTCTTTAGTATAAATTATGTAAAAAACTATCCAATTATTACAATGAGATTGTGTGACATCATTTAAAGAGGTATAAAAACAATAATAATAGTTTCTATTCGACCAAGATCTTCCAGTTGGGGGAGTAAAATTGAGAAACGAAAAACATTTTGTAGTCAGGATCGATCGACCAGTCGTAAGTGACTCTCTTTTCGTTACAGTCGACGTTAACTCTCACTTTGTGATCGTTTACAAGGTCACAAGTAAAACACACCTAGGACAAAAATTTCATTTAGTTTCGTCGAACGGTTAGTGCCATTCATTATTTACCTTGAGACCTTTGCTGAATTCCGACAGTCTGGTACATTTTTCAATCCCGTCAACGAAAATTTTCCCGCTTTTGTCTACTAGGAAGGAATTTCCTGGCGTAGAAGTCAGACTGGAGGAAGTTGGCAAAATTTGGTCAATCAGACCCAACATAGCGTTGCTCGAGTCTATTTCTAAAAACTGAAAAACAAATTAGCTGCAAATATTCAATATTTGTAAATTCCTACCGTAAATTCAACAGAATGTCCAACACAAAATTGCGGTCCGTCCGAATACAAAACTTTAGGAGAATCAACGGTAGGTTTAGCGATTTTGTTCTCGTTTGATAATAAAAAATCGTCACTAATTTTCCAAGAGAACGGTCTTAGACTTGTGGAAGCGACTTGAGGCAGAGACCAAGGCGACCACTCCTGAATGCCTTCAAACTTGCAACATACCCGGAAAGAATACGGTTGATCTACTTTTAGATCCTTCACTAAAAATTGCGTATCTAGACCTACAAACGAGAAGAAAATATATCACACTTAAATAATATTTTAACTCACCTCTATAGCAGTCATTAAAATTAACAAGTAGGTGTTTTTCTTTGATCACATCCCCGAAAGCTCGTTGAAGTCTAAATTCTTGAATGTCGGTAAGCCTGTCGTCGTTTTCGACGCTATGCCATTCGACCAATATGGCACCCGGTTTCTCGCATAATTCTGTTATCTAACGAAAAGATAAGAGTTACAAGTTTACATAAAACTTTACCGACTAACCTGGATTGGAGCTATTCGAGACACTTCCCCGAGCTGACTCAGAATATCCTTGACTTCATTGTCGGAGGTAGGATCGACGTGAAAACTAATAAAAGGCACTTCTTTCAGTTCAGGCACTTCCGGTAAACTTCCTAATAAGCTAGCGTTCTTGGAAAACGCTGCTAAGCCATCTTTTGCACTTCCATTTATGATGGAATTCCCTTGAGTTATCAATTTATTTGTCCCAACGACTTTGCTGGAAATGACATTGCGGCATTCTTCTAACGGTGCCAACCCATCTGTTTTGGCCTGAAACGACAAAAGTTTAAAAGTCCGTTTTAAGAAGGAATAATATACCTACCTTCTTCGCCTGTTCCAACAGGAAATTTTCTCTTTTATTTAATATGTTCACCAAGACAACTTTGAGGTTAGAAAATGTATCGTGTATGTTTCTCTCCGTTTCTTCGAAAGTATTAATGATCTGTTTAACAGCACTTTCCAGTTCATTGTCGAGTGACTTTAGGCGACTTAGGTAAACCTGTGCTGCTTTTAAAGTGTCCAAAATTTCCTTTTTATCCATCTAAAAATGTTGTTTAAAAAAATTTGTAAAAGAAAATTATTTTTGTTGCTGACGTACTATGCAACCAGCTATACTAAGAATAATATTCTTGGTAGCATGCCGAAGTCACTTATTTCATTCAGAAGTGTAATGTGGGTTCCATATTCTAACAAGTATCGGAGAAACTTCCAGGACCGTATCTAAAACATATTTTTTCCGCAAAACTATTTTTAAAACTTTGTTTATCTGATATTCTCGATATATTACGTCGGTTTGTATAAAAAAATTCTACAATCTTTTTTGTTTTGGTTAAATTTTGGGTAATTTACTAAGAAAGGAACCTATATTTATTATTTATATTTCGAATTATTCTACTGGTAAGGTATTAAATTTATTTAATCTACAAAACAGTTATCCTTTAATTTTTCTAACCATCTAAACTTGATTTTTTGTAATGGATCACCCTGTATATTTTTTCAAATTTGGATTTGTCATTTTATTCTCTTTCCATCCATACTATGGCGCCCAATACTTATCTCTTCTAGTTTTTATGTTATTTGAAGTTGTTACGCGTATTATCACTAATGTTTATTTCCTTAGTTATGAAATATTTTTTTATGTTTCCATGTTTTCCATCATAAGACGCAATTTATCTTGAAAACTGTTCGCGGTATAGCTTTTGATGATGAATATTTTCTTTGTGTAGAAAACAGCGGTTTAAAATATGCTTTGAAAATGCCAATTTTCCCAGAGTCGTAAAAATTAGGGGCAAGAGAACTTCACAATGAGAATATGAAGTTTATAATAAATTGTGTTTGGATATAAAAAGAGCACAAAGTCTCACAATCTTTAAAAATAGGCTGTACCGATATCTGGTAAACAGTACATTTTATACATTGAATGAATTTTTTTCTAATTAATGTATGTTGAAATTGCAACTATTGTTTAGTATGTAGTAAGTAGGTTAAGGTATCTTGCTGTATGACTATTCCTATACAATGTCTTTTGTCTTTGAGGAAAATAAAGCTTATTATATGAATAGTTTACTTTGTAAGTAAGTACAAATTACTTTTTCCGTTTCCACACTATTATATCCGGTCAATAATATGATTGCTATAAAAGTAATCAGTCGACAAAATAATTAAAAATAAATGGGTTTATGTTTTTAGTTTGGTTTAAATAATAATCAATTATTTTTATAGAACGTATCATTTATGATGAATTTACACAATAAATCAATGACTGACTACACCTTTTTGCCTATTTGTCTATTGAAAAACTATGTAGGACAATTTCAAATTCAGGTACATTATTGTGGCATACCGGAAGAAAGTCTGGGGAGCTTCGTTAAAAAGATACAGGGTGTTAAACTTTAAAAAAATATTTTTAATTTTTTTAAATAATTTAAAAACTAGTAAGTGAAATAATTTGAAATTGGGCATTGGAACATTGTCCAATATCTGAGGCTTTTTCCAATGGCGGCGATACAGGATATCGGTGGCATATTTTTCTAAATAAAATGGTACGCCACTACTTTACGGTAACAACCATGATATTTTCGGATTCATCTTTCAGTTTTCTACAAATTACTAATGTGTTATATTTTTCAAAAAATCCTGATTTTCGAGTAAAACTTAAAAAATGAACCGAGAACACACAATATTCGAATATAATGCTTTTTTAAATTACATAGCAGTTAGAAGAAAGAATAAATAAAATAATTTTCATCAGATTCAAGCAACAAAAAATTTCGAATTACATTTTTGTTATTAAAAAGATGTCGGGCCTGTGTTCGTGGAAATGCAGGTATTTTTGAGCATTTATACTCAAATAAAATCATTAAAATGATGACTAATGTTATTAATTTCTTTATTCGAATAAATAACCGAATGATTAGTGCTTGTCATGTCATTTAAATAAAAGTATTTTCAATTGGTTTTTTAAGTTTTACTCGAAAATCAGGCTTTTTTCGAAAAACATAAGAGGGCAGTAATTTGTAGAAAATTGAAAGACGAATCCGAAAATATCATGGTTGCTATTTTATTTAGTAAAATATGCTACCGATACCCTGCACCTCCGCCACTGGAGCATGTAAATTTTTGGAAGATCCCTCAGATTTTGAACAACGTTTATATAAATACATGTACCCAATTTTAAATTATTTCACTAACTAGTTTTTAAATTATTAAAAAAAAATAAATATTTGTTGAAGTTTAACACCCTGTATGTTTTAAACGAAGCGTCCTAGATAAAAACTTTATAGGAAATACCCCTTAAAATTCACCAAAGAATACGAGGTTTCATTTTTGGTCACCATTTGTGAATCACCCTGTATATCTCAAAAATTGTGGGACACAAAGAAAAGACAGAAAAATGATTGAAACTTTAACACCCTTTACCATGGCAACAAGGGATTTTTTACTTAAAATCATGCGCAGATTCACCCCCCTGAATAAAGACATACTATTATAAAACACCCTGTATATCCCCCAACGATGCTAAGCCACCTACTGCAATGTACCTGAATTTGAAATTGTTATTCAACGAAAACGAGTGTTATGTTATAAATAAAAGTGTATAATTATTCAACTGTATTGTTTACAATTTAGAGTCATTAATTGATTACTAAAATCCACTAATTACTCCAGCGACACCGTTCAGGGCGTTATCTAACTCGCCGACGACACACGTTCCGCATTTTTTCACATAAAACCCCGCATCAAACAAACCGACAAGGTCGAATAAACCATAAAACAAACAATACATAATGAGTATTTGTTTTTTTTCTCTCATTCGTCGCACACTTCCTGAGGTGATTCCCGTTTTTGACGCGCAGACAAGTCGGCGGTGGCCTCCCACCCTCGGATCACGGGACAAGTTCTAAGCGCCCGAGAGCTTGCTGCTCGATCTCCAAAAGCTTGTTTCGTGCTTTCGCGTTCAGTCAAAGACGTCACCGTGGGGGTAGCGCTTCGCTCTGTTTGGAACATACGCGTGAAACCTCGTCATGGATTGTCCTCTGTGAAATCTTGTGTTTTCTTCGTGTGATCGTGAACAATTTGGGCAGAGTTAATCGGAAGTTTGTGGTGCGTCGTTCTGTCAAAGACGCGATAAGTCTGGTAGATTTGTAGCTGTGACATTTTTCCGTGGTGCATGCACTTGTTTTTAGTGGTTGCTGAAAATGGCTTACAACGATACATAGAGAGAGGTAAGGTGTTTGTTAATTTAGTGTTACGCAAGGTTTTTGTATATGGTTAACAGGTTGCCGTCCGAGGTTTTTTATTGTCTTATCGTAGTCAAAGGACGGAATTTGATTTATGACCAGAAAAACCACCGTCAGCGTTTGCTGTACGCGAGACACCTGAGTTTCGAGTGAAAGTTCAGCGTTTTCTGTGCATATTTGTGTCGGGACGATGAATGCAATTCCTAGGTTTGTGTTTGTATAACATTTGTTCTAAAATAGCGCTAAGGTTCCTTTGTGTTTACTTCAGTTGATTATTAGAGAAAAAGAGGTTATGTCTTGTAGTAAAAAACTTGTGTTGTCGTCTAGTTGCAGTCCAGTGTGCTGCTGTCAAAAAAAATGGAAAACTTATAGGCGTTGTTTAAGTTTTGTGGTTTACTTGTTTTGTATCGTTTTAAGTATTTCCAATAGGTATAATAATTGTGGATTTAAATTTTTGGATAACGCCCAAGTTTGTAGACATTTACATTTAAGTAATTTTAAGTGCACAATAATCGTTTCGCTTTGTAAACATGCCGTAAGTACACAGAAATGATTATTATTACATTACCTATTACCTTTCATCATTGTGTACATATTTATAAATAACTCGGGTTAAGTCAGTTTGTTTTTATTTTACCACGAAAATGACGTCAGAAATATTGCCCATATCGTTTATTTACTGCAAAACTGCAACGTTAATTGTTAGTTTCGGTGTAATTGAAATTGTAAACTGAAAAACGCCATTCACTCATCACTGTTACCGAAATAATGTCGATTATATTGCTAAATTGTACGACCTGTAAATACTAGAATATATACATGTAAAGATTATTAAAAAAAATAGGAATTTGAGAAATGGAAACTACCACCGCGCTTTGGAAAACAGTCATATAATTCAGTGGTGTTCGGCTAAAATTTTAGAGAAAGAAAATAATACCTTTAAAAAATTAAAAGAAACTGACATTATTTTATTAAACGACTTAAAAGTAGGTACCTAGGTAATAGAATAAATATCATATTATAATATATCTGGCGCTAGAAGCAGGTAAACAATCAAAATTTAATCTTAAATATATTCCAAAATGCAACATTCTTCGTAATTTGGTGATGTGTATTTTTTATTAGGTATAAGTATATTATTTATCTGCTTTTTTAGTTTGATATATTTGGTTAAGGGAACAAAGAAAAATTAATTATACTAACCTTTATAATATGTACCCCTATATCCGAAAAAATTAAGACTGTGAATTTATTTGCTACCTTTTGTCAGAGAATCACTTGTAGAATTTTGTCGATGCAATATTCAGGATATTATTTTGTGGTACTTACATTATCTGTCGATTGTCTACTTTTTTCTGTGTTTTTACAACGTTTAGATTTTATAACTGCTAGGTATTAATTTTCATAACATGACTTCAACCTCTACTCATATTATCCAGTTTCATAGACGATACTTAGATCGAGACTTATAATTAGACGTTCTTTGACATGCTGTCGTGAACCTCTCGAAAGACAGAGGACAAATCAACGAAGAACATCGACGACCGCATAGAATGCCTCTGCAATTGACCTAAAAACCTCGACGGCTGTGCCTTTCCTAGCTTTACAGTAATTTCGTGTGGTTCCCAAGAAAGTACGCGACCATTACTCTAATCGTTTATAAAATGAGAAAAGGCAACTCGTGTGTCGCATCGACATAAGCCGAGACTACGGGCCAAAATACAGGGTGTTAGAAGATTGACTGCCTTAATTTTAACACGACGATAGAATACATTAAAATAAACAAAAAAAAACCTTATATGACATGGGTCCTAAGCTCAACCATTTCCATTTAAAAAATTTATCCAAATCCTCTAACTTGCAGTACAAAGGTACGATTAATTAAGGAATATTGACATATAATACCTGCGTGCATAGAATACCATAAAATACAATGTTCATCACTTTTTTTTAACTTCTTTATGCTTAATTCTAAAAAATAATTGGCATTGTAATTTTAAAATTCGATAAAATTCATATCGAGCAATGTGACAACTGCGCGGCGGTTTATTAACACAAGGTACGAAGGTGTCCAGTAACCAGCAATACGCAATTCTGTTGGTATCTGGATTCGACCGTGTCGGAGTGTTTTTTGCGTGCCATTGTTTCCGAGGGGCGTTTCGTCGAGGCATTTTTGTGTACACATTGCAGGTATTTCGAGGCATTTTCTCAAAATCTGAGGCATTCTGAGATATTTGGAGGCATTTTGTGGGCATTTTGAGGCATTTTCTGGAATTTCGAGGAATTTAGTGCATTTTCGAGGCATTCTGAAGGAAGTTTTGTATTGTGCGCGTGCGCGTAATAGTTTGTCCACGAGGTGCTCGATGCAGTGCTGTTCCAGCTATTACAATTGTACTAGATCTATTACATTTGAGAAAATTCTATTACCCTATTACGAAGTTGTCAAAATCTATTACACTATTAGGCTTTTTTTCGCGATTGAATATTGGTGAATATCTGACTTGTAGTACTATTTCTATCTCTTTTGATCTTAATTGTCACATGGACTTCACTTACAATTCTTGCAAAAAAAGCCTATTGAATTTTTAGCTCGACAGTGAGGAAATTCTGGAGATGTAAAACCACAGAATCTTTATAAATTTATTTCAACCAAAGAAAACAAAAATACATATGGTTCCCTTGAAGAAACAATAACACTAAAATAAAATATAATTATAACAAAACGAAACTTTACTCTATAAAAACAAACTTTTGTTAAAAAATAAAATGATATAGGTTCAATCACAGAGTAAACTAAAGTTTAAAGATGTGAAAACGGTACATTTCAGTCAACGAACAAATCCTATTACAGTTTTCTATAATCTATTACTATTTTCTATAGATTCTATTACAAATTATTTAAGCTCTGGAACAACACTGGCTCGATGAGATGCATTGTATCATTCGATATCAGGGCGTCAAGGTGACCAATTAGGCTCATGGGTGTTGAAAATTGTACCTTAGTACCTTAGTGGCATTTCCTTGATTCAAATCAAGAAGCAGGTTACTAAGTAACCACTTATTTATTTATAATTGGTAACTATATTCAACGTGAATAGCAGTGGCGAAGAAATTGATTTGTTTGAGGAATACGTATGCATTAAAAGTTTTATTTTTTAACTGAATTTAAGTGTATCGTAAATAAAAAAAAGTTTTCAAAAAGTTTACCTTTATGGCATTGCTCCTTAGTTTCCATTTTTACATAATATATAAAACAAGTAATTTTTCCATTTTTCTTATTTTTTAAATATTTTTTTTTAATAATGACAAGTTATTGTTGTCTGAGAGAATTATTCTACCTCTGTATCAAGAAAAAATAAAAGAGCTGCAGATTTATTAAAATAGTTTTAATAGAAACAATATGAATTACATACATATTTACAATGTATCAAGTTGAGTTATTCATATGCCTGATTTGGCCTCTTGACTTTTTCTTGTATTATTAAAATTAACAGAGTTAGGGGGGCTAGAAGTTATGGAAAGATTTCAGAAATTTAAAAAAGTCATAAGCAGAAAAATGAATGAAATGAATTTTGTAATTTTTTTTTCGATCTACTCTAAAAAATGTAACCTGTCTTTTCGAAATAGATATATTTTTTAATTTTTAATAAGAAAGTTATAACAATTTCAAATTTGTTGTTCACCCCCCTAAACAGAGATTTTAACGAAAACCTCGAAATGGGTCAATTTAATTTTGTCAATTTGTTTACATAAATCATATTTTTAATTCATTTTGAGTAAATATGATTTTTTTATAAATAAAAAATAGTTTTTCTGAAATAAAAAATACCCCCAAACACGGAATCACTTGCGAAATATTTGTTTTTTATCATAAGTAATTTCCGTTTTGTTTCATTTCAAAATATTGATTAGAACCCCAGAAATTTTGAAAAAACTGTTTTGGGGGGCGAACTTTGAGAGTGTACTTCACCCCGTAAATATATTTTTCCGCCGATAAAAAAATTACGTGTCTCTTTACATTTCTTAGAGTAGATTGAAAAAAATACAAAATTAATTCGTTTTTCTGCTTGTGATGACTTTTTTAAATTTCTGAAATATTCCCTTAACTTCTAGCCTCCCTAACTCTGTTAAGTTTAATAGTACAAGAAAAAGTCTAGACGACATTTTTATGTAGAATTATATGCTTTACAATTTTTATAAGAAACTTTTTGTTTTAGCCCTTGCCCCTTTTGAGTTATCTTGAAAAACTCCTTTGATTTATCTTTTTTCACCCTTGGCCGGGGGTTGAACAAAAAATTTCTGTCACTTATTGTTATAATATACGTCAAACTAACTCATATCAAAAATTCAGGCAAGCTGACCAAAATTTCGATTTAAAGGCTTATTTAATTGGACTAAATTAATATATCTGCAATCTAAGGTTATAAATTGGTACAAAATTTTGAAAATAGGTAGTAATCCCTGTAAAAAATTAAAAAAGTGAAATTTGTGTTAATGTTTATTTGTACAAGTTTTTAATATAGGCACATATAATTTGTAAGAATAAAGTAATAGTTAAATGTTTTCTTCACTTTCCCTGAATTAAAAATATTTGATGACGAAAGGGTTTTACCATTTGCGATATTTTTCCCTTGCTTTCCCTTCTCCAGAAATTTAAAATACATGGTTTACAATTTCATGACTGTGCACTTTAAGCTTCACAAGTGATTCGGATACCAAAGCTCAGATGAGCTACGGTGCGGTCTGGTAACGTTGCCAATTTGGTCAGGCTGTAAATTTTAACAGTACAGTGTAAAAATCAATTATTATTATGCGCATTTTTTTAAATAGGTGAGTCGGAACCATGCCAGTGAGCCACAGATATTCTCCAACTTGCTAATAAAACTGCCGGAATTGAGGAATTTGGGTGCCAGGCATACCGCCCACCTGGACTGGTTCCGAATGAACTGGACGAAACTCACATTACCACCTCTGTTTGCGGAAAT